TGAAAAAGTGTTTGCCCCCCCCCCCCCACCCCTGTTAAAACATAACTTAACTCTGGTCTATCAGTCTGGAAAAGGTTATAAAGCCATTTCTAAAGCTTTGGAGCGAACCACAGTGGCAGCCATTATCCACAAATGGCGAAAACATGGAGCAGTGGTGAACCTTCCCAGGAGTGGGCGGCCAACCAAAATAAGCGCAGCGAGGACTCATCCAAGAGGTCACAAAAGACCACAACAACATCCAAAGAACTGCAGGTCTCACGTGCCTCAGTTCAGGTCAGTGTTCATGACTCCACCATAAGAAAGAGACTGAGCAAAAATGGCCTGCATTGCAGAGTTCCAAGATAACAAACGTGCAAAACTATGAAAAATCAGGAAGGGGCCAACACTTTTTCACACAACTGTATAATAGTCCATTTTTATTATACACATAAGAACATCCTTTTGAAATGTAATTTATTATGCTTATGTGGGCATTATGAATGATACTAAAGTAAAAATACTGAGTAATATTTGCATTGGTTCAGCTGTAGTGACTCAAAAAATCAGATTACGAGTTATGGGCATTGGTGAGATCAAAGCAATTTCCAACACAATCGATGGTGAAATAGATTATTTTGACTTTACCTGATTTTCAGAAACAGAATATTTAAATCTTTTGGCTGAATTATAGGCAAGAAATATGGAAACTGTGTATCCAACCAATGCAACACTGAAGGCTTCCACCACAACCTGCTGTAGAACATCCATCTCTGGGGCCTGAGGAAGAGGAATTCTGAAACAACAGAACAAAAGGAAACCTGACAAATAGTGACTGGGCTGATTTATGGCTTGGTAGGTTCAGCTTGCAGTACCACACTTGAATAGACATCTCCAAAGTTCACAAGGCATATTAAGAGAAAGGAGACATAATGCATGCCCCATGCTAACAAACTACACTTGTACTCTACCTATGAAGGAGTTTCACAATATTGGTCTCATGTTGAAGATCGGTCACTCACACATAAACTAGGGACATGCGGAAACATCCATTCAGCACTAGAACTTTCCAGTAGTCTTAAATAGATACCGTCACCTTGTCTTTTCAATGAGATAGTGGTGGCAAGGTGAGCATCAGGGGTTTGGGGAGGAAGAGGGTGTAGACTTTACAATAACACTGTCACTTTACCTTGACTATCTCTTTAAAGGAGAACCATTGGAAGAGTAAAACGCACTCTTCCCAATAGTTTGAGCCTGTGTGTGACACTGCAGCTGTACACATTAGCTATATGGATGGAGAACTGAGCAATCACAAACCGCTGATTACTCAGCTCACGGCTTCTCTCTGCAGAGGGTGGTGGCTATCATTCACTGCTCCCTGCAGGGATTCCTCCTTCCCCTCTCTCTGTTCCTCCAGTGCTCATTGAAGGGACAGGCATGGGAGGGGGTGGTCACAGCACAAGGAGCCAATCAGGTGTTCTGTAGTGTACATGTGCTGACATAGAATGTGCTGCTGCTCTTTCACAGTCCTACCGCAGTCTGGAGGAAGAGTGATGACCTAGCTGTATTGTTGAAATTACATACGTAAAATATAGGCCTGGCTAAAAAATCTTATGACTGGGCGGACAGAAATAAAAAACCCTTTAGCAGGAAAAACAACTCCATATACAGTATGTATTTCAACTGTGTATTTAGCTGTTTCCCTGAAGTCTGGCTTTCAAGACGTAAAAGGGAAAGTATGTGTACAGGGCATTCTGACAAAACAATTTACTATCAGTAGAACACTAGAGCAAGGTGATAAGAATTCTACTGCTTTGTTCAACCTCACCCTAGAGTATGTAATGAAAAAGATAACAGATAACACTACAGTCACCTTACTCAGTCAAACAAAACAGTACAGAACATATGCTGATAATATTGTGGTAATGAAAAGAAATCAGGACTTTTAAAGTGAAAGAAGAAAAACTTTAGAAAGATTAAAATATTTAGAAAGATCTCACGTCCAGAAAATCCTATGGCTCAGGCATTTTGCATAATAATGGAGGTTCTAGCCCGTACCAAGATATATACCAAAATATTACCCTTTTGGAATATATCCGATTACTTCAATGCCATAATCCTCTTCCATATTGGCAAAATAACAAGCAAGGGAGGTGACCGTGATCTGTGTAAAGGATGAGAACATGGTACTATTAGCAAACTGGGAAGGGTCATTGCATTAAAGTGCTATATGCATCTAGTTTTCATAAGTAATTACTAATTATTCTAGTTTTACTATAATTAATTTTTTTAGAGGTCACAGGATTAAGCTTTTTGACCTGGATGCCTGTTCCTTCAATTTATAATGATGGGACTGTTAAAAAAAATGTTTTATACCATGGCCTGAGGTGCAATAACAGAAAACAACATGTTTTCTACTAATTCATGGATGGATGCTGAATGTAAATGATAAAGAAAAATACTGATTTTACATTTTACAAAGCATATTGCAATGTATTGGTGATGCAATATTGTAAGAAATAACAACTACAAAATATGTTATGGGGGATAACCAAAGTCAGCAAGGTAAATGAGACATTAGCTGATTGGAACTGATTTCTGAAAACTTTAGAAAGGATAACTAGACCAAACCGAAAGTATGTCATCAATGAATTGTCATGATTACCTAGTTGTTGCAAATGTTTTGTCATGATTACCTGGTTGTTGCCAATGTTTTGTCATGATTATTTGGTTTTTGCCATTGTACTGCCATATTTACCTATGTGTTGTTTATGTATTGCTGCCATTACCCATTTGTTGCTCAGGTATTATTATGATTAGTCTTTCTTTCACAAGTCCTGCCACTGTTGCGCATGTATTGTTATGACTTCCCATTTCTTGCCTGTGTATCGTCAAGATTTCCCATTGTTAGCAATATACTGTCATGATTGCATATTTGTTGCCAGTGTATTGCCAATCTTACCCCTTTGTTGCACATGTATTGTCAGAATTGCCCAAATGTTTTCATAATATTTCCAGAATTGCCCCCTTGTTGCTCATGTTTTTTTTTTATGAATGCCTTTTTCCTACCCGGTATTGAGACCGGGAATGTTCAGATAGCAAGTACTATATGAGGTATAAGTACAAGTACAGATACTTTTCCAGTTTCAAGACTAGACTAGAGGAAAACTCATAAAAGATAGATAGATAGATAGATAGATAGATAGATAGATAGATAGATAGATATATGTATATATATTAGGGATGTACCGATACCATTTTTTCCAGACCAATTACAGGTACTGATACTTCTACAGGTACTCAGAGATACAAGTCCTGATACATTTTTGTTTAGTGTCATGTGATAGTTTTTCTAAAAAAAACAGATTAATGATTTCGGGACAGTGGTGGAGCGCCAGGGCCCAGTCCCATCTGCAAGCCCTGCAACCCTGGTAGTTCTCGTGAAAATGCCAAGTATCGGCACTGGTATCTGAACTGTTGTCTTGACACCCCTAATTGACACCACTGTTCGTTTCATAAATATTGTCAAGAATGTTCATGTATTGCTACTATTGCACAGTTGTTGCCCTTAAATGGTCGATTATCTTTTGGTTGTTAATGTATTGCTACCATTGCCATTTTGCCACAATTGCCCATTGCTTCTAAAGTACTGGCATGATTGTCTGTTTGTTGCCCATGTATTGTCACAACCGCACATTTTTTACCCAAGTATTGTCATGATTTCCCATTGAAATTGCCAGCACTGCCTATTTGTTGCCCATGTCTTATCACAACTGCTTATCGTTGCCTGAATGTTGTCATGGCTGCCAGTGTGTTGTCCATATTTGTTGCCTACTAACTGTCAGGATTGCAGGTGTGCTGCCAACCTTTATTGCCCACATATTGTTAATGTTCCCACTGAGTTGCCTGCATATTGTGACCATTGCCTTTGTGTTGCATTTGTGTTTCCTGTTAATTGCCACATCTTGTATGATATTTTTCATTTCCTTTTAATTCTGTGTGCGTGTGTGTTATTTCACTGCTACTATGTAGAGAGAATAAAGCGCATATATTTTCAGTTTCCTTGGGGTCTATGCAAATTAATTAAACATTATTAATGTCAAGCAATTGTAAATCTCTTCAAGATCCAATCATTAAATTCTGAGTCTAAGTGCCAATCACTACTACAGTTTGAAAGGGAGGGGTAGGGGGACTTTTAGGGGCTGGGGGGACAGGTGAAGTGTGTGTGTGGGGGATGGAATTTACCCCCTCACACCTCCACTATGTCAAGTAAGCAATTATGTTGCATAAATTAGACAGAATGTTGTGGAACACTTCAGAGTTTCTGAAGACCATCCATGCAGCCTGAGTCAGTGTATACTGTTCTGTTTTACTGTATGGCTCAGCAGTCAGACAATCCAAATGCATAACTGAATCCAGCTCTGTAACCCACTCAGCTAGAAAGTTTTTTAGATAGCACCAGTGGTGAGGAATGACAGCACTGGCCACTGAAAGGTACAGATCATGTATTTCTTGATAGATTTAATGCTGCCAGGGAGCAGTTTGAGATTTGCGCACCTGTCAACCTGAAGTACAACAAAGTAGTCTTCCAGAATCTTTTCATTGGAGGACATTCTGGCCAGATGTGTGCCATGGTTACTTTTTGTGCCTGAAATTTGAAGAAACTATCAGGGGGAGAGGGATGGTGGGATTATTTTTGTTTCTATTGTCTGACCTCAGCTGTGACATGAGATAAAGAGCAATAAAGAGCTTACTGCAGCCTCCATGCACAGGTACTGTTAGATGGGATAGCGAGAGAAATGTGTTAGGTCACTTTAAATATTGTATTTTTAATGAGATACAATAAAATGATTTGTACTTACTAGTATCAGGTCAATAGGAATAATAAACTTGATCTGATTCTTATACTTCTCATTCAGCTCTTTTGTCAGAATGAGCACTGTGAGGGACAGAAGGGACAACAACAGGGCTGATATTTGGATCATGTTGCTGTTTTTGAAAATGTAGATATAAATCTGCAACAAGAAAAAAAGAAGGTGAAAAACTAGTATAAGGAGTTCCAGCGCACAAATCCATTTTATCAAAGTGCACGTCACTGCAGGGACAAAGGAAAAAAAATAAAGAGGCTCATTGGTTAGTGGCCCTATCTGCAGAGTTTGGTGTTTTTTGTTTCATTTTCACCAAGAACACTGTGTACATCTGGTTTCTAATGTCCTTGGATTTGTACGAGTTTCCTCTCGGTGCTCATATTTTCACTGACAAAGCCAAAGCATCCCGAAAGGCTAAACAGCCTGTGCTTAATAATCTGTCCATATAGAGTGTATCTTAGGTAAATGTTCCTAAATGCTGTAGAGTTTGTCAGAACGTTAATTAATAATATAGACAAAAGCAAGAAAAGCCACCCCGTATGCCTCCATCTTTCCCCATAATGTTCACTGTCTGAGCATCTCCCTACACTGAGATAAACAAGATAAATGACAGCCGTTCTCATCAATTGATAACAAGCAGATAGGAGGCATGAGTAGGGCAATACACTGAACAATGCAAAAATACAAAAATTCCCAAGCTAGTTGTCCAGCTAGTCACTTCAAAGGACCTAATTAAACTGTTTTAACATATTGGGTTAAAAACAGGTTTTTGTAGCCTATGTTTGCAAATGCTTGTAAAACTACACTGCAGTGTTAAGGCACCTCTACAAATCGTGATCCCTAACACTAAACTAAATAAGTTCCCCAGCCTGGGCTTATATATACAGCAATTAATAAATCAAGAGCAGACATAGTTTGGTAGAAACTTCAAAGAGCAATAGACCAAAAATTTGGAATACAAGGTAGAAGAAGAAGGTTTTTTCTCACACTCTAATAGACCCCCTATATGAGTAGACGATTGGTCTATTCTTCTTATATATATGCATGTGCTCCTGCAGCTTTGGTGGCCTGAACCTAGGCTGCAGTATCTAAATAGCAGGGGGCCCACCATAAGATCCTACATTATTCTGGGCTTAGATTGGTAAATCCCAGGCAGGAGTCCCTTTTGCCCTTACTGTTAATGTCACCCTAAAACCAGCACCACACATAGGACGTTATGAGAGTCTTACAGAATATGTTCTTTCTGCAGGATGTGCAGTTTATGGTAGCCAAGAGCAGGTTCTACTGCCTTTTACAACTTACTGCATATCATAAAAAAAGGTGAATCTGAGTTGATTACAAATAATTTCCTTCATTTAAAGGGTCTCTAAACAACCACAGTCAGATGCAGGTTTATATAAGTAAATCACACAGACAGATGGTAAAGAACCTACATAGAACATCCCCAAAGGTCCAGATATATAAGGCATCTTCATTCCTAGCAGGAACTTGACTTGTGACGTCACCACGTGAGTTGCTGCTCCTGTTGTCATTGCACTGACTACAGGCTCTGAAAGAAGAAAAGTGGAACCCCCCAACTGCAGCAAAGACATTGACATCTGTTGGAAAGGAGGAAGCAACAATAAGGACCAGAATACACCAATCTTAGTAATACATGCTAAAAAAAAACAAAAGTCTAAAACTGACTGCCGATTTCAAGGCAACCTTGCTCTTCCTATTTAAAACATAGCTCCACTCTTGCTGAGAAAAAAGAAGAAAATCATCCCCTTGGTAATTCTATATATTGTAGGGATTTGAAAATAAATGATTAAACACAATCCTTCCTGCTGCCTACAGTAACTACACTCACTTCCCAATTTCAGCAGTTACTCCTTACTTTCTGAGTGCTCCGTGGGAGGTTCATGCCGTTGCAGTCACATGATCACTCCAACCGGAACAGAAGAAGAAGCCTAAGCCAATCACATGAGCAGGAAATTATATTTGTGGGGGCGCTCTGTGCATGGACTGTATACAGAACACATCTATACAAGGAAGCCTTTTGTGAATTCATTTAAGTTAATTTATGTTATTTGCATAACATTATGCTCAGATGAAGCTGGGAAAGTGAGACTATAGCTGTTAGGGTAAAGGTGAGACTGTGAGCTTGAGTTAGAAAATCACAACATTTGGGCACATGAGAGAATCCATGATTCAGCACACCATCCATAACTGTAATATAGTCTAGGTGGACTATCCTAATAAAGCCAGGTTCTCTGTTCTAAGTTATAAGCACATATCCTGCATTGATTAGAGCATTGGGCACCTAGACTGGAAGAGATGGAAATGACAAGTATGCACAATAAGCTCCAAACAGCAGAAACAGTGTGTTATCTGTTCTATAAATGGAGTTTATACAAACAATGATTCTGATTATTCTCTGCGCAATGGTGGTGTTATGGAACACAGAGGTAATTGCTTTTATTACTTCAGTGGAACATTTAGGTGGATAATAGCTAAATACTCACAGTTAAAATTCTGCCAAGAAGTTGAAATGTTCTTCCACAGGTTGTCCATAAAACTGAACCTTTATTGCAGTCTTATAAAACAATTTCAGACAGGCAATTCACCAAGTCCTACTATCGTGTTACATGCTACTTGTGTGCTTTATCAAGATAGTGACATTCTCCATGTTTCTCCATGATGTTTTTCCATGTGCCAGCATTTATTTTCAGAGCATGGTTAACTCTGATATCCTATTATTCCATTACAGGGAACATATGATGGGTTAGCATACTGTTTTCAGACTCTGATTTACTAAAGGAGTAGAGCATGTACACTTTCAAAGTGAATTTGCACTTATCATAGTTAATGGGGTGACAGAAGGTGAACATTTATTTTACAAAGAATACCCAATCATGTGTCAGGAAAATTTGAAAAAAAAATGGATTCTCGCTCACATGATTGGATGACAATTTCACCTCATTAGCCAAGCTCATTTTTTCTTTGCAAATGGAATTTTCCCTTAGTTTAGACATTTTTCTTTCTAATTTAGGAAAATATAAAATATTGGTAAATATTATGTAGTTTTCAACCCAGCCAACAGTTGGAGCTTTGGGCATGTTTTACATGTTTTCCTTTTATCTTCTTTTGAACAAAGTCCATTGTTTATAGAGCTCAGTAGCTGAAGCTGAAATTTACAAACACAACTGACTTAGAGAAGTCAGAGGAATGAGTTGTTCCTTATTGGCCAGCTCCTTTCAAGGATTCTATCAGGCAAGGCAAGATGAAAGGCAGCTTCTACTGTACTGTATCTTTAGTGAACCTATTCTGCTTTGATAATCCTTTGCTGTGTAATTAATGTTTATTTGTATAACAAAGACAGTACATAAAACATCAGTTTAAAAAGATATAAACTTTTTTTAAATGTATTTAAAAACATTTAGTTCCTCTTCTAAACCTAGATCAGGTGTTTTTCTGGTTGCTGGATGACCCACCCCTTCCTGCTCCAAGTGTGCTAGGTGTCCCACTGACCAATAAGGCACTAAGGAAAACAGAAAGGGCAACCAGAGAGCAGCCAAGAATGATTTTGTCTCTTTTTATTGCATCTTGTGCACTTAGGGATAACAGTGTTTTCTGAAAAGGAAAAAAATGTATCGCTATAGGCACCACTAGCTTCGTGCCACTGTTTGTGAAATGCATTTCAGTCCCCTCCCCTCACCCACTTACTGTCAGGAACGCAGGCTGTGCAGGACTCTGAGGCCAGCGCGGGGACGGCCCCGTCATCGGCGTCCAGTTGCTAGGCAACGGGCGGCCGTTCCTCAGCGCTCCTCCTCTCCTTCTCACAGGCAGTGTGACGCGACGGACGAGGCCCGGCGGCGTCCCGTTGCTAGGAGACGCTCGGGTCGGGTCTCGTCTCCGGCTCCGCCCCCAACAATTGCCTCTGCCTACTTAAACTGAGGCTGAACACTTGCTCGACGTTCTAGCAAAATAGTAAGTCGAGCAAGCTATTAGGAACCCCCATCGTGAGCAGAGACCCTGTGACCAGCCTCTGGAGCTACATTTCATCGATCCAGCCTGCAGATACCCCCAGCACCAAGGAACAGATACACTTCCCCTGACTGGACTCTCACCAAACAGCAAGTATATCACTGCCATTCTATATACAGGGGAAGTGTTGGTACTGCCACCTTGTGGGGAAGTCTCATATTACATCCTCTCTGCTCTTCTGCTATCTACTCCATTATTGCTGCTTATCCATAGTTGTTGTCACCTGCATGTACTCATAGTGGGCTTAGTGACGTTAACTGGCTCTCTCTTCAAACACTGTTGCACCATATACCCTGGACGGTAATTCCTCAAACCATATGAGATGGATTAGTTCGATCCTTAGTGAAGCAACTAAGGAATCGAACTACAATTCACAACACGGCCCCAATGCTATATAATTGGGAGCGTGATTATACAACAAGATTACAACTCAATGCTCCCAGGATAAATGGTGTATGATGTGTAAGGGGTTCCGACTGCACTCACTGACTTAAAGTGTTACTGCGAACCTCCCTACTGAACCATTTCCACTTACCTCCGCAGCTGAGATCCAACACTCGCCATCGTGCTCGCAGGAAGCGTTACACTTACTGTATATTTAACCACGCCATGCTTTTCCACCACCCCATTCTTTAATTGGAGCCAAGAGTTGAAACCTCTGTAAGCTCTGTGTTGAGTGATGTCAGAGCTTACCCAAGGTTTATAATGTCCTTACTTTCCTCATTTGACAGACCCGGCAATTGGCCATTCCGAGAGCAGGACACATGCTTCCCTATATCTGAATGCTAGGGGTATTTCTTAAGGGATGTGACTGACCAATGGAGCATAGTCATTGGGGAGGGGAAAGGAATGTATCTTTTTCTATAATCGTTTCCATCGTCCCACGTATAAAATCTGCAGACAAACTGCAGACAAACATACTTCAAAAGCTGCTGAACTTTAAACGTTGTACCTACTTGAAGATACTTGAAGATATTTCTGTTCCAGTGACTACTTACAGGTGAAACTCGAATAATTAGAATATCGTGCAAAAGTAATTGCAGTAAGTGCTGCAAAAGGGGCCCAAACCAAGTACTGAGTACATATGCATGCTTGTACTTTTCAGAGGTCCGATATTGTTCTATGTACAATCCTTGTTTTATTGATTGCATGTAATAATCTACTTTTTTGAGGTTGTGGATTTGGGGTTCTTGGGGTTTTCATGAGCTGTAAGCCATAATCATCACAATGATGACAAATCACGGCTTGAACTATCTTGCTTTGCATGTAATGAGTCTATCTCATATATTAGTTTCACCTTTTAAGTTGCATTAGTGAAATAAATGAACTTTGCACAATATTCTAATTATTCGAGTTTCACCTGTACATTTGATCTCATCACTTTCTCTCCCAATGATAATGATCAATAATAGAATAGAAACCGACAGGTGTTTTCACCCACTCCTAACCTACCCAAAACGAAAAAAATACGCTTCAAATTCTATTCAAAATTTAAAAAAGTGTTTTCTTTAGAAAAACTTTAAATTGTTAGTTCACCTTTCACAAAAAATAAAAAAGTGACCTAACTAACAACACCCTTCCCACTCCTCCGGTCCCTGCTGCACTTAGCTGCTGTCATGACCATCTACCAGTGACCATGCTAGCTAGTAAAACAGACCCTTCAAAACTTTACTACTCAGCCCTGGAGGCTATATATCATCATCATGCTGGCAATGGCAAACGGTCATTGGTCAACATCCCAGAAGAAGAGATTCACATTGGTCAGCAGAGTCACGTGGTAAAATTAACCAAAGACCGCTTACCAATGACAGCATTATGCAGAGGTTTGTAATCCAGCACACTTGTCTTTTTTTCTGAAAAGATTAACTTACCCATTGAGATTTTCTTTTATGCCCTTTATTTATCTTGTTGGTATCCAGTTGTTTTAATCCTGTATTACATACCTGATCAGGTTACTTATATAACAGTGAAAATGGTTGTATATCCAGTTCTCACACCAACAACACTGCTTGTACTTTTTACAATTCTGGAATTCTCACTTCTGTCCTATTATCTAATCAAATCTCGAGTATGTTGCACAAACTTCCACTTCATTAACGCTTCATAATGCTGAGAAAACCCAATTAAGATATATTAAATGTATTGCACTGTTAGCATTACTTAGATGATTAATTAGGTGATACCTATAATCCTGACATGTTTATGCAACACAACCCGGAGGCTGATTCACTAAAGAAACTAAAGAAGATCAGGGATAAAATGTAAGGCAGGGGTAGCCAAACTCCGGCCCTCTAGCTGTGGTGGAACTACAAATCCCATGAGGCATTGCAAGAAAACTAAAGAAGATCAGGGATAAAATGTCTTTAGAATCTTGCAATGCCTCATGAGATTTGTAGTTTCACCACAGCTGGAGGGCCGGGGTTTGGCTACCCCTGATGTAAGGCCTTGTTCACACCGAAAGAGGTGCGTTCCAGAGCGGTTGCTCCCCGGTTGTGTAATGCTCCCCACACGCATTACACAACCAAATCATTTTGCAGTAATGCCACCTTGCTCCACGGAGGCACAGTACGCA